ACTGCCAAGACAGCACCTGCCATTTTCTCAAAAGCAGCTAATGGGAGTGTGTTGGGAGCAGGGACACTAACAGCCCAGCAGTCCCTGTTCTCAGCGGTGTGCGGGGGTGGGGCGAGCCGGGAGTGTCTTAATGGGCTGGATCCAGCCTGCTGGCCTGTATTGCCCAGGCCTGGCTTAGAGGGAACCTTGGCTCTGGGCTGTGGGGGAGGGGCGCTGTGGAAAGGCCAGTGTGGCCTTCCTGGGCAGGGCATGATGACATGTGGCCTGGCTGACAAACATCCCGGACAGAGAATTACAGGCCGCACAGGCATCTTGTGTCAGCCAATGTAACTCATTTGGGAAAGTGTTAGACTGAAAATCTGAAGGTCCCTGGTTCAATCCCAGGCTTTGGTAGGTGCTAATAGGTGGCAGGGCCCTTTCTAAAATTCTCTGTTTAATCATCATATCACCCTTTTTGGCCACAGCTGGGCCCTGGCAAATCATGTTCCTGTGACTCACCCCTGTTCCTCCCAGCCCTTCCTGAGAGTTGCTGCTTCCTTGGCTAATGCCCACCCGGCGCTGGCACAAGGGCTGTGGCTCAGGGTGAGGTGCTGATGGGGGCACATTTGACTAGTCTCGTGTGAGCTCCTTGGAGCCAGCCAGCTGAGCAGGAGGAGAAACCCAGCAACCAGCTCAAGCAGGGTGGGAGGACAGAGACCCTCTCTCACCTGGGCACTGCAGGCAGCAACCCCCGGAGGAAGGGGGCTGGGCCCAGGATCCAAGTCCCTTTCAGCCCCCAGGAGAAGGGAGCTGAGAGAGAGGGGAGGGAAGGAGGTGGCCAGAGCCCCCTCCCAGCAGGCTGGGTCTGTGGGAGCAGGAGTGAGGGGGCCTGGACCTGCTTTCCTGCCCCCTTCTCACACTGGTCTCAGAGCGTCAGCAGCCGCCCGCTATCTGGTGGGTGGGGCCTTCGCTCAGCGTTTGGCAGCCAGAGGGCTCTGCATCCATACGTGGGCCTGGCCTGCCCCCCTCTTGCCCTGCCTCGGTTGCTCTGTGGCTTTTTGGCCTTCCCCTGGCCCCGTCCGCACCCCACC